AAGCCCGCGCTGGGCACAACAGTACGAAGTAGTGGTTGCGACTTCGGCGATGATTTGTAAGAAAAGGGTTTGCTCCCCGCACCGGAGCTCGCGCTATTCCGCCGACTTTACTTGACACTTGACTGACTCACGACTGCCATCCAGAGCACACGAGAAGTCCATCGAACCTTCGACTCGGCAAACCTGCAAGAAAGCACCACTCCCTGCTCAATACACAGTGTTTCGGGGAATTCACCCCTCATCAGTTGAGCTTGAGTAGGCTGAGGAAGATTGTGCCTGAAGAGCACCACTTATATAGTGCTCTCCAGGCACGAACAGCACCAGGAATACAAACTTACACAGACGCTCCGTATCCAGCGCGACAAACACCTCGTGAACACCAGATAGCAGCGTGAGTCAGTGTCGCTCCTGGACGGTGAGACAGACGTCGAGGTCCCTCGGTCATTCGCAACGCTGTCACCTCCAAACCAACTAGTCGCAAGCCCGCGCTGGGCACAACAGTACGAAGTAGTGGTTGCGACTTCGGCGATGATTTGTAAGAAAAGGGTTTGCTCCCCACACCGGAGCTCGCGCTATTCCGCCGACTTTACTTGACACTTGACTGACTCACGACTGCCATCCAGAGCACACGAGAAGTCCATCGAACCTTCGACTCGGCAAACCGGCAAGAAAGCACCACTCCCTGCTCAATACACAGTGTTTCGGGGAATTCACCCCTCATCAGTTGAGCTTGAGTAGGCTGAGGAAGATTGTGCCTGAAGAGCACCACTTATATAGTGCTCTCCAGGTACAAACATCACCAGGGATACAAACTTACAGAGACGCTCCGCTTCCAGCGCGATAAACACCTCGTGGACACCAGATAGCAGCGTGAGTCAGTGTCGCTCCTGGACGGTGAGACCAGACGTTGAGGACCCTCGGTCATTCGCAAGGTTCGATGGACTTCTCGATGTTGACTCTCAGAGTCATCTGTCAGTACCTGAGAAGAGCACACTTACAGAGATTCTCCGGGAGAATCATGACTTGTTTATCTTGCAGGAGGGTGATTTTGGTCATTGTGATGTTTTTCCACATCGTATTAGTACTGGTGAGACAAAGCCAGTTAAGCAGCCTACGCGTCGTGTACCCTACCACCGCCGGCAGGCTTTACAAGCTTTGCTGGATGATCTGTTGGCCCGTGGTATAATCACAGAGTCTATTAGTCCCTGGGCGTCACCCATAGTTCTCGTTCCAAAGAAGGACGGATCTCTTCGATTGTGTATCGACTACCGCAAGTTGAACAGTGTTACGGAGCCAGATGCGTACCCCATCCCACGAGTTGATGACATGCTAGACTCACTCTCCGGCTGTTCCTGGTTCACTTGCCTGGATTTAGCTTCAGGTTATTGGCAGATCGCTATGGACGAGGAAGATAAGGCCAAGACTGCCTTTACCACACCGTTGGGTTTGTTCGAGTTCTCCGTGATGCCAATGGGATGTCGAAATGGTCCGGCAACTTTCCAGCGTGTGATGGAAGCGGTGCTTCATGGCTTATGCAATGTGCCGACCCAGCCATTCTGTCGCGTTTTCTTCGACGATGTGCTGAATGCCAGTTCTACCTTGACTGGACAGCTCCAGATCCTCAAGTCGGTATTTGACCGCGTTCGTGCTGCTGGACTGATGTTCAACTTGAAGAAATGTTCGTTCTTCCAACGGAAAGTGCTCTTCCTCGGTCATCAGGTTTCGGCTGACGGATTGGCGCCGGATCCGGCCAAAGTTGAAGCTATCGAGCAGTGGGCTGTACCGAAGTCGGTGAGAGATGTACGTATGTTTCTGGGTTACGCTGGGTACTACCGTCGGTTCATCCGTGGCTTTGCTCAGCGCTCTGCACCCCTGACTGCTCTATCAGGGAAGAATGCCAGCTTTATGTGGACAAAGAGTTGTGATGCGGCATTCACCTCTCTGAAACGGTCACTGACAACAGCCCCCGTGTTGGCGTATCCCGACTTTTCTGGTTCGTCTGGCCGCTTTATTTTGGACACTGACGCTAGCAAGGTGGCCATTGGAGCTGTCCTCAGCCAAATGCAAGATGGCGAGGAACGCCCCATTGCGTTCGGCAGCCGGGTCTTGACAAAGGCAGAGAGGAATTATGATGCCTCAGACCGGGAAACGCTTGCCTTTGTCCATTTCGCGAATCAGTTCCGGCACTATTTGCTTGGTCGGAATTTTATTGCTCGCACAGATAACACTGCCCTCACCGCACTGATGTCCGTCAAGGAACCACGCGGTCGAAAAGCTCGATGGGTGGAGCAACTCGCTGAGTACACCTTCACTACCGCTGTTCACCGGCCGGGTCGACAGCACTTGAATGCAGATGGTCTGTCGCGTTCCTTGTTGCCGGAGGTGCAACCCTCCCATCTCGAGACTCCGCAAATCAGCCAGAGCAAGCTAGTTCCTCTGCCACAACGGCGTCTGTGGATGTCGCCACTCCTGTACTAGCTGGTCTCTCCGCACCTGAGTTGGCCGCTTCCCAAGCTGTGGATGTTGATCTATCAGTGGTCTTGTCATGGTGCAATGCAGTGAGTGGAAAATTTGTGCGTCCTCCTGAAGATTTAATTTCTGGCTCTAGTCGTACCATGTGTTTGTTCTGGGCGAATGCCGAGCAGCTAAGTCTCATTGACAGCGTTCTGTACATATCACCTCCATTTTCCGATCATGATCATGTCGGTACTGCACCCCGTCTTGTCGTCCCATTTGTGCTTCAGCGCAAAGCTTTGCTGGCTGTTCATGCTCTTCCGTCTTGTAACCATCCTGGTGTAGATAAAACGTTAGCTCAAACGCGGCTACGTTTTTTTCTGGTTTGGAATGGCATCAGATGTTCAGGAGTTTGTGGCGTGTTGTGTCACTTGTGCACAGATTCGGCTCAAGTCTGATGCCCAGCGTGCTCCGCTCCAGCCAATGTATGCCGGCTACTCATTTCAGCTCGTAGCCCTCTACATCGTCGGTCCATTGCCAGAGACACCCCGTGGTAATCGATATCTGTTGGTTATGGCTGATTACTTCACTCGGTGGGCAGAAGCTTTTCCACTCCAATCCGTTACTGCAGAAGCTGTCGCTGTGGCTGTTGTCAATGGCTGGATAGCACGGTTTGGATCCCCTGAGCAACTGCATTCCGACCAGGGTCCGCAGTTTGAGTCTAAGCTTTTTGCTGAATTATGTCGTCTGCTGGGTATTCACAAGACCCGTACTACTCCCTACCATCCGGAAGGTGACGGACTTGTAGAGCGGCTCAATCGCACTTTGCTCGGTCTACTCCGTGCGCACATCACCCCTACATCCATTGAGTGGGATGCTACCTTCTCTCTTGTCTTGCTTTCGTACCGTTCTGCTGTCCATGCGTCCACGGGTCACAGTCCTGCTAAGTTGTTGTACGGCACTGAATTGCGTTTGCCGGCAGATGTTGTGTTTGGTTTGCCACAACCAGCGTCTCTTGAATCCACTAGTTACGTTCGCCATTTACAGTTTGCGTTGCGTGTTGTACATGCTCAAGCTCGAGAGCTCGCTGATCTGTCCCATGAGCACCAGGAAGAACATTACAACCGCCGAACTAAGGGTGCACCATTAGCTGCTGGCCAGTTTGTTTACGTAAAGGATGCTGTCATTCACCCTGGTGAACACCGCAAATTCCACCGCCCTTGGCGTGGTCCATTTCGTATTGTGTCCGTTTTTTGATCCACGTCCTACGTTGTCGATGTTGATGGTCGCCATAAGACGCTGCATTTCAACCGCTTGAAACTCGCTTACCTGCCGTCGCCATCTGCGTCCCTGCCGCTGGAGGATCCAGTACCTGCTGCTCCAGTGAGGCCTCAGTATGTCCCACATGCCCTCGACAGCGACCATAGTCCGCTGTCGTCTACGCTCCCGCAGTCAACCAGAGCCCATCTTGCTCGCAATGCTGGACTGCCTGCTCGGTTTACTGATTTTGCTGTCCTGAGTTATTTTATTTTTTATGTTTCTGTTTTCTTTCTCTATTCACGAGGGCGTGAATTTTTGGTAGGAGGAGGATAGTGTAGCATGGCTACTTTATGACACGTAATTTGTATACACATAAATAGTACACCGTAGGAATAGGCTGTGCGCATACTCGCACTGCCTTGTCTTCTTCTTCTCCTTGTGAGACAATGAACGAAT